GACAAGAGAACAGTCCAAGCAGTGTAAATTTTGTTCTCCTTTCCCTTTTTGCCCATCTTATTCTTTGGGCCATAGTCAAAGTAGAAATAATGCATATTTAGGTGCTTATTCTTTTGGAGCACATTTGACCAGGTTCCAAGAAGAGGTAATGGCTTTGCCACTAGCTGGGATCGAGGTAATATTGTCCAGTGATGATCTGCAAATTGCATCAGAAGATGCTGTGTATGACTTTGTGTTGAAGTGGGCTAGGGCTCAGTACCCAAAGTTGGAAGACCGTAAGGAAGTTCTTGGTACACGCCTTGTACGCTTTATTCGCTTCCCCTATATGACCTGCAGGAAGCTTAAGAAGGTGTTAACAAGTAACGATTTTGATCATGAGGTTTCATCTAAGCTTGTACTTGAGGCCCTCTTTTTCAAGGCTGAAACCCCACATAGACAACGAAGCTTGGCCACAGAGGAGTCTGCCAGCTTGAACAGTCACTTTATCGAGCGAGCTTACAAGTATCGACCTGTTAAGGTGGTAGAATTTGAACTCCCCCGTCAGCAATGTGTTGTGTACCTGGACTTGAAGAGGGAAGAGTGTGCAAATTTATTCCCATCAGGACGGGTTTATTCTCAGGCTTTCCACCTGGGCGGACAAGGTTTCTTCCTGTCAGCCCATTGCAACATGGACCAGCAGAGCTCTTTCCATTGCTTCGGCTTGTTTTTAGGGATGCAGGAGAAGGGTACGGTTAGTTTCACGGTGGACTATGAATTTGCAGCAAGGTCAAAGCCAACAGACGAGTTTGTTAGCAAATACAAAGGCAACTACACATTTACCGGCGGCAAGGCTGTTGGGTACCGGAATTTATTTGCTATACCCTGGATTTCTTTCATGGCTGAAGACGGTCTTTATTTCATAAATGGTATTCTCCATCTTAGGGCTGAGTTAACCATCAGGCACTAACCAACTCCTGTTTGTTCGATCGAATTTCTGTCCGCTAACCCCACTTTGTTCTACTTTTTGCTCTGCTGAGCGAAAGAGAGAATGTACAAGTAAATGGATATGTAAGGTTCGTGTTGACGAGTTTGTATGGCTTTGAAAGTGGATTAACATCCATGTTAATTTAATTGTCTATATTTAACTACTTATTTTGAGATAATTTTAGGTTCTTAATTGACATCAAAATCTGATTTTTTTTTTCATTTTATAATTGATATCAAAATCTTGAGGTTTCCTTTTAAGTCTAAACCTTTTTTACTTCGTATTTTAAACATGTTGGAAAAGCAATAAGCTTGTTGGAGTATTATATACTTCATGCTCAAGTAATAAATTTTGTATATATAGAGGAGAAAAAAACGTTGGTTTTCTAATTTTCATTATCAAGGAGACCACCAGTTATTTTTTCTTTAAAAAAAATTAGAAGAGGTAGCTGACATAGATCATTAAAAAATTTCAAAGAACAAAGGGAAAGGAGGAAACTCAGGAAAGAAACAACAAAGAGCGAAAAACTAAGCTAAAGAGAATAAACAATAGCTGATCTGCAAAACAGACAGGCAAGGAACATGCTCCTGTCATCAGCATGCCGAGCAACAGCTGATGCGAAGCCACATGCATCGATGGAATCTAGCGGCTCTGCCACATCCCCGGAAAGATGCACAAAAGGGTCTGGATCACTGTCGACAATGGCTTCCTCATGGGACTGGGGGACTATCAAGATGATACGACTGTATTGAGTTTGAGGATGAAAATATATATGGCTCAAAAGTTTTATGTTTTCCATATGTTCAGAACGTTCTAATATTATGCTTTACCAATGCTTATGTTAATGGTTTCTGTCACTCTACCGTTCAACTCCATATATGTTAATGCTTTCTTGTCTAACCCTCATCGGTTTCAGGTGTTAGTGATGGGAAAGAATAGTTATCGTTTTTATGAATCCCAAACTCACGGATAAAAGACAGATTCTATGTATATTTGAATGGAAGAAATGGGTTACTTTCTACATTAACATGGTATATACATATATATTCATAGATGGGAAATTATAGCCATACACATCAAACTGAAAAAGTATCGATCCATGAACAGACCAAATAAAAAGGTGGCAAGGATTCATACAAGGCAACCCTACAATTAGAGGTTACAAAAAGGACCAAAAAGATAATAATAATAGCAAATAAATGAACATGAAATTGTTGTGCATCTACTCAGTTCCAGCAATCTTTCTCTTCAGTGCCTCGATATCCGTGGCTAGTTCTTTCCTGCTTGACTGAGGAAAGAAGGATATGGTTTTTACTTTTTAGTGTGCATATACATGACCATTCTTATTCTAAATAGCCTGAAAACCTTAAGATTTTAGTTGTAAATTAAGCTAATCTCAAACATATCTCTTCATGCACTTGTAAGCTCCTTCTTAGAACGTCGATTTAACACTTTGAAGCATTTGGATGATGATTAATCCATAATGACTCACCCAAAAAGAACAAGATTATCAGGTATTAAGATTCATGAAACCATTATGTTCGCTGAATCTCTTACCTTGAAGAGAAGGTATCTGTAGACAAACCATCCTGTGTATCCAAGTCCTACCAACTCCATTATCTTCGGAAGCTGATTAGCACATAAAATTGTTTCATATTGGATTAGCAACTTAATTGAAAGAGATAATGAACTGTAGCAAGTTCATCTGCAGTGTACATACACGACCAGACACAAATGTATGATTTTATGTTGGGCACGGATGCATGATTTTATTTCAAAGGATTAATTTGAAAAATTGAAAATAAATTATCAATAAAAATAAAAAAATACTAAAAATTTGGAAAGTTGATGAAAGACCCCGCCAGCCCCTCCACCTATCCCTGCGGAGTGAGGTGTAGTTTGAAGAATTCACTTACCAAAGGGACCGAGTTAATGGCACCAACAAGAATGGATGATAGCCAAACGGCAACGACTGCCCCACCGCCATAAAGAAGAACTGTTGACTTGTTCTCAACTTTATCCCACTAGTAAACATGGGAAGAAAAGCAAGTCAGTTCAGCACTAAGCAGACTGTAAAGCAAGATCTCAACTTTAGAGCTACAAGATGCTGCCTTTTAAGGCTGCTGCATGAACCACTCGAATTAACGCTGTGTTCTCACCTTTTCCTTCAAGTCAGTGAAAAGCTCCCCAGTATCAACCGAGGCCTCCTCCGAGGCTTTTTTCTGAAGCAGAGAAAACCTCTTGGATTCTGTTTTCCCAATAAAAAAATGGAAAGCCATTAAAACAATAAGCAAAGCCATGCATATGCAAGAGATTTTAAGAAATGGTGGAAAAGAAATAGTATTTTTTATATAAAAAAAGCTTAAATTTTCAAATATGGCTACAATAACATAAAAAGAAAGTCAAATAAAAACTTACAATTAAGTATTGAAACGAATGTACATTATGCGAGTGTTGAAAGGGAATCTAAGGGCAGATTACCTGGAATTAGCTTAACGGAAGAGGAAAAGGAAGCGGTGGAAACGCGAGGGGGAAAGGATGGCAAGGCACTGCAGCGGGCAGTTCTAACGGCGGTCGGAAAACGTGGGACAGAAACGGCGGTGGCCACCATGGAGGATGATGATGATGCAGCTACCGCCATTTCTAAAAATTAATTTTGCGCTGTTTCGGATATGTGGCCGCTGCAAAGCTAGAAATCCTATCCTTAGCGATAAAAGAATCGACTTGCTGTGCTAGAAACAGTGATGAAGATGAAGGACACGTGGACAAGGTTAGGATTATGATTGGTTGGTTCTCTATCTGCAAATCCAAGTTTGACGTATGGTTTTCAAACCGGACCGGTTAGCGAACCGGCTATGTTATCGGTTCACTGGTTCAACCGGTTGAACCGGTCGAAAGAACCAAACGACGTCATAATTATTTAAAAAATTAAATAAAAATACAAAAAATATTTAATAAAAAATAATTTTTTATATCACAATTCATATTCAAAGTAAGTCATAACATATATAAGTTAAAAACCATAAAATCAAGTGCAACAAAATGATTCAAATTAACTACAACATAATATTTAAGGTAAAACATATTAAATAATAAATATAATTATATAACTATAATTAAAAAATAAATTTGGGGCTAAAAAAATCATAACAAAATGATATTGTTTGATTTTTAAAAAAAAAAACAATCTCACATGGCTAAGAAACATAGAAGATTATCCCAACTAACTTCTATAAATAATAGAGGTAATTTGGCATTCAAAATCATGGAGCCTTTTGGTAAGTATTGAGTGAACTATTCTTTCACTTCAATCAAACTCGAATTTTAGGTTTCAATCGAGCTTCTAAATTTTTTTTGAGTTCAAACCTTTTCGAGTTCAAGTTTCAATATTATATTTTGAGTTCGAGTTAAACTTCATAATTTTTAGCTCGTGAGTTTGAATCGAGTTGAGCATACTTTTAAATTTTTCAAGTTCGAGTCGAGCTCAGCAATACTCGAGTTCGATTTGGCTCGTTTAACAAACGACGTCGTTTGGTTTAATTTAAAAAAAAACAAAATTGGCGGTTTTTTTTAGTTTTCAGCCGGTCCTATTTGAACGGTTCAACGGTTCTGGCCGGTTCACTAGTAGCGGTTCAACCAGTCTAGATTGAACCAGACTAGGCAACGGTTTCCAGTTGAACAGATTGAACCGGCCGATCCGGTTTTCAAAACAATGTTTGACGTTTCTCTCCTTACTAATTTTCATTGTTATTTCCATTTTATATATAAATAAAAGATGCTGACGATATAATTTTCATTTTTATTTCCTTCTTATATATGTAGCATTGTTACTGCTAACTTGTTAAGATCGGATTTTTAAAATATAATCAAAACGTAATTTTACATAAAATTTTAGAAAATAATAACTAGATGATCAAAATAGGATTTAAAATTATAATTAGATGATCGAAATAGAATGGCAGTGGTAGATGATTAAATATTTAGATGATCAAAACTATAAAAGTATAAAATAAAGGTTTGTGGGTGGAGAAAATTTCATCTCTGAGTTTGCAATTAAACAAAAGCAACAGCAGAGTTTTCTTTCTGCATTTATCAACCTATAGGATGGAGATAACAGAGGCTGTGAAGAGGAAAAGGAGGATCAAAGTAGGAGCCGTTGAGAATGGCCAACGTTGTGAGTTTATTGGCTGCTTCAGTCGCATGTATCCCATCCCAGCTAACATAGTTGTTGGGGTCTTTACAAGCCATTGCTGTAACTTTGCTTCCATTCATCACCTTGCTATTCCCACAATAAACCTCTGGGTGAAAATTATATTTCCCACCACCATATCCACAACAAGCTCTGGTGCCATATCTAAGACCTGGAAAAGAAACAAAAAAATGGTCCCAGCTTCATCATATATTGTAATACCCCGGAGTTCCTCCAAGCCTAAGGAACTCTGTGTCCTCCGGATTGCTATAACTCCTTGACTTGGTCACTAACAGACTTACATGATTTGTTAGAATCAAAAGCATTGAGATAATATCATAACCCTAATCTGACACCATGTAATAAGTCACAATACAAGACTGGCATCTCTCATCTCTTTGAGTCTGTAAAACAAATAGACTCCGGCTCTCTACCTAAACCACCAAGAACGTAACTCCACTTATTCCATCAATATATATATATATATATCAAGATCAGTGCTATTACCATGGGATGTGGGATCCTGGAAAAGCTGTAGAAGTACAGCATGAGTGTCCACATGTATCAAAGAAGCATCGGGAAGATCTCGTCTGGTTCGGCTTAGTGCCTCTTTTAACATGCTATTATAATCGACCACGGCATTGTTGTAAGAGATAAGGCAACCGAATTCATCCAAGTCCGAAGTATCGTGAGGCAGCTGCACTAATAATGCCGGATAACAACCGACCGGTGCAAGATTTAGAACAAAAAATGTACGCCCACCTAGACCATATAGCTCCTGTAAAATGCAACACTTTGAAGTAAAAATTAGGCTGATAGAACTATCACCAACTTATTCAGTTCCCTACCTTGATAGTGCCAGCAATTTGGGAAACCACTTGGGGAAGATATTGCTTCACTCCCTCGATACCATTGGCCTTCAAATTTGAAGTAAAATCATTCTGACCAATGTAAAAGGTGTAGAGTGATTTCCCAAAGATAGCTGGTGAAGGCAGCTTCGTTAATCCTAATAATAACAGGCAACGGACCAGAATTTTATGTCAAAGGACAAATTATAAAATTTTATGGACGAAATCAGATCTTCAATAAAAATATAAAAAATAACTAATTCAAATGAAAAATGTCGCTCTCCAACTTCCCTCGGTCTATTCTGTAATAATCAACACTAACGGCCTTTAATAAAAAGAAACATTGTCTAGCATTTAATTATCGTTGTGGTGGTCTGGTGTAGTACCTTTTTGATTCGTCGAATGATATTCGACAACTTTGGCCTTGAATTCCTTCATTTGATTAAGCTGAATGGCCAAAGAAAAAGGACTGATGCCGGTAACAAATAATGAAGTGTTGGGCAAAAGCACAGTGGAAGCCAGCGTTGCGAAGTTAGCTCCATGCCGGTAATCAGATCCTATCGACTGCAAGTACGGACTAATAAATGATAATCCCAGAGCTTGTGCTGCGAATATGGAAAACAACCATTGAAACAACTAGTTTTGCTAAAAGGGATAAAACAATTGATGATTTGTACAGTAAATACAAAGCTTATCAGAGTTTACCCAAGAAATCGAGTATGACTCTGCCATCAGTGGCACGACCGGTTGGTTTCTTGAAGAAGGTGATGCCGAAAGGTCCTGACTGTGCCGGGAAAGCAGCCCAAAACCCGCCTGTGTCGGAATTTGAGTCGCCGAAGTTGAAGATTGCTTTAAATTCACATTTGGAATCTTGAGATGAACAAGTTGACAGCATTGGCATCGCCACCGACAGCACCAACAATACGTGTCGGAAATGAAGAATGGTTCTGGATAAAGGGAGTGTCATCTTTCGATGGAAAGTGGATTAGATTTGCTGTTTGGGAATGTGGATAGTCGAGGTTGATAAAAGGATAACGAAAGCTAGTATAATCCAACTCTAATTAATTTTTTTAAAGAGAAAATAATTTCAGTGACCAAAAATATCTTATAATATATGATTTTAACCAATATTTTTTGGATTTGTCAAAATGACCAACTAAATCGTAATGCGATCGATAATTCACAACGCGATCTCCGGTATCGCAAATCAGTTTTCATATTCGCAACGCGAACTTCGACTATCGCAATGCGAACTTCGACTATCGCAATGCGAACTTCGACTATCGCAATGCGAACTTGGACTATCGCAATGCGAACTTGGACTATCGTAATGCGAATATGGACTATCGCAATGCGAATATGTAAATCGCAATGCGATAGTCGAAGTTCGCGTTGCAATAGTCGAATTTGGAAAATCGCAATGTGAACTTCGACTATCGCAATGCGAACTTCGACTATCGTAATGCGAACTTCGACTATCGCAATACGAACTTGGACTATCGTAATGCGAACTTCGACTATCGCATTGCGATTTACATATTCGCATTGCGATAGTCCAAGTTCGTATTGCGATAATCTAAGTTCGCATTGCGATAGTCGAAGTTCGCGTTGCGAATCTGGAAACTGATTTGCGATACCGGAGATCGCGTTGCGAATTATCGATCGCATTGCGATTTAGTTGATCATTTTGGTAAATCCAAAAAAAGTTAGTTAAAATCGTATATTATAAGGCATTTTTGGTCACTGAGGTTATTTTCTTTTTTTTAATGGTTTAAATTTTAAAAAAAATTAAATGACTCAACAAATAAAAAGGTGCGAACCAATGACTCAACAAAATAAAATGGTGTGAACCAATAATCAATTGATTCGGATTAGTGACAGGCGTGCTCCCTCTGCATGTTTTGTGGTCCGCTGGCCATGACCTATTGCAAGTGCACTGCACCCACTAGCAAGTATACCGTATTTTCTTATAATGAAAATGTGATAAATAAAACAGAGATAATTCCTACATTTACATATGAAACGATTTACATTGTTTGAACCTAGAATCAATTTATTAAATTTAAAATATTTTCTTATATGAATTTAATATAAGTGGGTATTTTTCAAAACAAAAGAGTAAACATATTTTACGACAAACTTATGGGGATACATGTCAATTACCTTCTTTTATTTAATATTATGAGCGAGTTCTTGCTTGAAATGACAAGGTTTAAAGCTCTCTCAAACTATAACAGCTGTGCGAGAGGACTCGGACATGATTCATCTTGTAGTTTATGCCGAGACGCGAATGATACCATGCTTCATATCTTACGGGATTGCACTCCATCCCAATATATATGGAACAAACTCCTAGTAAAGTATTCGTCTGCCTCTTTTTATTCCCTCTCGCTTGGTGACTGGTTGTTTTGAAAACTAAGATCAAAGTTTGATTGTGAGATGTTTCATGGACCTTTGAATATCTTGTTTGCGTCGCTAGTTTGGCATATTGGAAGGCGTGAAACCTCTTTATTTTTCAAGGCCACATTCTTATACCTGAATCAGTACTGCAACTCGGTATCACATGGAGCATATTTTATGTCGGTTGTGCGCCTGATCGGAGAGCTGGTAGTATATCAGCTCCGACACAAGTACAGTGGCAACCACCTGAACCAGGGTGGATCGTTCTAAAAACAGATGGCGTTGTCTCGCTCTTCACAAGATGTGGATCGATTGGAGACATTTTTCGAGGTATTACGGGCATTTAGGTATTTAAGTATATAAACCTTAATATTAAGTATTTAAGTTTGAGTCACATTTTATGTAAATTATGCGTGGATTGTTTTCAATTTATGTTTTACAATAATTAATTTTACTTACAATGATTCAAATATATTAGTAATTATGAAACTAATTTTTTTAATATAAAATCATAAATAGCGTAATAATTAAATAAATTATCGAATCAATTATATTGTCATAATTTTAATTAAATAATTAAATATAAAAATCAACACCTTTAATATTAAAGTTTATGTCCAATTAGTTATAAAATTAAAATCACAAAATGGTTTCTGAAAATGGTAAAGTCAGTTAAGTTGATCTATAATTTTGATCACGAATTCTAGATTCAGATTATACATCCAAGTCCAATCCAAAAGAAGAAGAAGAAGAGCAGGGTCAAACAAACAGTTCTTACGTGGGAATTGCATGGGCAAACAAGCGGGCAATGGTGGATTTCAAAGGACCAAGTCATTGTGGTTAAATCTCAGAAAAATAGATATCCAAATTCCTTATATTTTAATGAAACATGGCCACGTAAGCCCACATGACGGGTGGAACAGGTTGGATTTTGGACCCCAGATGCGTATACCCACTAAATAACGAACACGTGTCAGACAAAAGTGACGTTGGAATACGTAAATGACCAGTCCCAACACAGATGAGCCAGCTCGACCAGCCACCGTGTACCCCTCTTATACGGTAGATTTGTACACTTGTTTGTTTCAACGACACGTTTTTGTTGACGTGGATATCACCTTCCGTTGGCGCCCCCTGTCTTTTCCTTCTCCTCCGCCTCGCCTCTTCGGATTTGAAAAAAAGGGAAAATTGAAGCAAAGAACACCAACCCTTTGCTCCGTTTAAGAGTGAAGATAATGCATTATTCCCCCCCCCCAATTGAAGGTATTCTGACAGAGAGAGGTGAACCTTCTAGAACTTAGGGTTCAACTTTGGTGCCTTGCCCATGGAAAACAAGGATGAAGGGAAGTCCCGTAAGTCTGACAAATCTTCTTCACCGATGCCAACGGTAAGCTTCAACATTATTCATGTTTAACTGTTGAAAGTAGAATTAAGCTGTAGTTTTTTGTGCTAGAAAAGATCAATTACTATACTTGTTCACTTGAACCAATTTATTTAGGGAACAATTTTTAAAGGTAATATAATTTTTGAAGCTGATATCTAAGTATTGGCCAATCCTTTTTCTATTCACAGGATCAGAACAATTTTCATGTCTATCCCGATTGGGCTGCTATGCAGGTAATCAACTTTATGTATACTCTTATTTCCCTCTTTCTTGCTGACCTGTCAAGGCATTGCAATTCGCAATCTGTTTTTTTTTTAATAAAATTGCTAATGGGGACTTTATGGTTCTATATTACGTATTTAGGCATATTACGGTATGCCACCATATTACAATTCAGCTGTGGGATCAGGCCATGCTCCTCCCCCTTATATGTGGGGTCCACCACAGGTCTTGCACTCGGCTCTTGGGAAGTTCAAGTTCAAGTTTTTTACTGAACTACTCTGTAATTAATTGAATGTACTAATTTATTAACTGTTCCACCCTATGATGCTACCCTATGGTGCGCCTTATGCAACAATCTACCCTCATGGGGGAGTTTATGCACATCCTGCAGTTCCTCTGGTAAGTTTACTTGTCGCTTTCTCTTAAATATAATACCCTCTGCTTTGTAGATATAGAGATGAGTACTGGTTATGTGTAGTTTATGATGTTCGAGTATCGTTAGTACACATGCTGTTTTATAATACTCTTTCTTCTTCCTGCCCCATGTTTCGAGTTTAGACAGTAGTCTTTTTTAATGGTTACCAACTAGATAGTACTCACTTGATTCTTTACCAGTACAATTAGAAACACTGACTCAAGAAAGTTGCATTCTTTCGCTAAATAACACTTCGGTACGCTGCTTTTATTGTATCATATTATATATTAATTATTTTTTATCTGTTTGCTCCTGAACTCCAGGCATCATCACATGGTCATGTTGTTCCATCATCACCTGCAGTAAATGACTTTTGTTGAATGATTCTTTTGAAACCGTTCCTGTTTTATCCAAATTTATTGTTGATTTACTTGCACATAACTGTTTCAACGAGTTAGCTGGGAAGTTGTCAGTCTATACCTTATGCTTTAAGCAGGTGTTGAATATAAGTATAAACCCAAACATTTTAATGCAGGCTGCAGCGCCTGTGGATACACCTACAAAGTCCGCTGGAAATACTGAACAAGGTTTAATGAAGAAGCTCAAAGGATTTGATGGCCTTGCTATATCAATAGGCAACGATAATGCTGAGAATGCCGAGGGAAGAGTTGAGCCTAGATCGAAGCTATATCTTAGCAACCTATCTGTTGGAGATTGGACAACCAAGTCAGTTTTCTAATTGATCCCTTGTTGTTTGACTCTGTAATCATGTTGACAGTGTAGAGACTCGAGGTTCCACTGATGGTACTGATGGGAATACAACTGGGGTGAGATCTCCTTCCCAATTGTTTAAGCTACTAACATCTTCTTTTTCGATTTTCTTTTTAAGTTATTTGGACAATGATTAAGGCAATCATTCCCTCTTTCTAATGTAATATCTTTGTCACTTTACACCTGTCAGACGGATCAAAGTAGGCGAAAAAGAAGCAGGGAGAGGGCACCAACCACTGGTATGATTCTGTTCTTCAGCTATTATATTGTTGATGATTAATAGAGTTGACCTGGAAGGTCAACATTTTTGTTAGGCTAATTCATAGTATCCTCCTCTTGTGCGGAAATGGTGTGGCATCTACATTTTTAAAACTATTCAGGAACACCTACCAATTCTCCCCTACTATGAGGAAATCTCATTAGATATCTGCAGGCGCACCTGTCAAACTTCTAGATGTAGTGCTTAGGCTCATGACCTTGATATGCGAAAGCTTTTTGTGAAATTTGGAAGGAATATGTGTTAGAAAATGAAAAGAATGATAAATATAATGAATCTTGGGATGGGTATGGAGTTTTAGTTTTATTGATGTATGGTCTCTGTGTTAGCAGGCGGAGATGGGAAAATTGAGGCGAAGTCTAATCCAGTAGCTGCACGGGAGGTGATTGCAACCTTTTCTCCTAAAACAATTGGAACTGTACTTTCTCCTGGCATGACCACATGCACAAGTTTGGAGTTTAGGAACCCCCCAACCATAAATCCAATGGGAGAACATTGCGGAGTAATGCCTTCTGACGTCTGGTTGCAGGTATTTCTGAATCGAATTCTCGTATATCTATTATTCTTTATATCCTGTCTTCATTTTAGTATGAGAAGGGGGGATTCTGCTGTCATAATTCGTTGCTAAATTTTGAATCAAAATTAACCAGAATGAACGAGAGCTGAAACAGGAGAGGAGGAAACAATATAATAGAGAATCTGCTAGAAGGTCAAGGTTGAGGAAGCAGGTACAAGAAATACATCTTTTTCTCCCACTCTTAAAAGCTTATGATTCTTTCTTTGAGCCATTTCACCAGATAATGAAGTGTACACATGAATCATGATGAAGCTAATGCAATGCAATATATTCTTATGTAGGCTGAGACCGAAGAGCTTGCTCGTAAAGTTGAATCCTTGACGTCAGAGAATGCAACACTCAGATCTGAAATAAATCAATTAACCAAAATGTCAGAGAAACTAAGGCTAGAAAATGCTATATTAGTGGTAAACGGGCACATTCAGACTTCAGCATTTTTCTTTTTTGGTAGCTTAACCTGCGACATGCGAGATTGCCCCCTTCAACTCCATACTTCTTTTAATTGACCTGTGAAGTGTATTGTAATTCAGGAGGGACTGAAAAAGGATGAAGGCAGACATGCACAGGAAAATATTTTGAGCAAAAAACAAGACAAAGAGGGTGAAATGTGCGAGGAAAAGTCAGACTCAAGTGCCAAGCTACGTCAACTCTTGGACCCGAGTCCTAGAGCCGATGCCATGGCTGCCGGATGAATAAGGAGAAGAGTTCTTGCTGAGTTGTTTTTTACATTAAATTGGAGGAAATGAGGTAACTTTGGATTTGTAAGTTAGCATTAGGATAAAATAGTTTATTAACAGTTCTTTGCATTTGTAAGTTAGCTTTCTAAGGGCATTAACTGATATATATTTTAATCTGAAAATCAGAGTGCTGAGAGAAGTCCTGAAAAAGATAGTGTATAGGATAATGGAAACATGGTATACATAATATCCAACGATTGTTCGATTTTTTTTTCTATAATCAATTTGCAGCCTCATTTCATGCTTGAATGAATGTAGTAAATTATTTTCCGTCTTGTTGCCTAAATGACTAATCTATGCCAACAGCTAATTGTTCGCGGCCTAAATTCTTTTGGTCTGGTCTGAACAGGGCAATAGAACAAAGGGATAATTTAACGGTATATCACCTTAAAAAGGGTAAACTACATCAATGGTCACTAAAGTTCGGTTTAATTTTTTGTTAGCATAATATTAAAAAAATCTGAAAGTTTGTTTAAATAGTCGCTTTAAATTTTTTTTTTATAAATATTTTGGCTCTTAATGTTTTATTTTAGGACAAAATGACTCTTGATTGATTGAAAAATGTTAACAGTCAACACTTATAGCTAATATGAAACCATCACTTTTGATGTATAATACACATACCATCACTCTAATGCTTGACATGTGCCATGTCTGATTTCATTTCATGCTCACACTTTACTTATTACTTACTGGATATAATGTCAAAAGCCTGCATGCTAGCAAATCACCTCTTAAGTCTGCATTTCCGTATCGAATCCATTAAGTTCACCTACTGGCAAACAAATCCAGATCATGCCACAATTTAACTGCAGATTCCATGCCGTACGTCTTGTAAATATCTGTCCAGAAAGAGGCGAAAATAGTTGTGGGGAAAAAAAGACAAGGACAAACCTGTTTATAGCCCTGTCGAAATGAATTGCATCTCGACAGATGTTGTTCAACACCACTCCAAGCTGCATAAACAGCACTGTTAATCAGATATTGGTTATCAGCCAGTTCCAATTCATTGTTAGGTCTACATTGGGAGTTTTGAACAGCTATAACTCGGTTGAAACTTGAAATTCAAACAAAAAATTCGAATTAATGCAAAAAAAAACTCAATATATATATAAACACTAATTTTCATTGTTCAATTGACGAAATAATCAGCGTCATAGTTGATGTGCTTAAAAATGAGAGAGTAATATAATAATAAAAGTACCACATGACATGAGACATGCAATTACAATGCATGAACCCATCCATCCATTATCCATGCTGAAAACCAAGGCTGCCCACATGATTTAAAATTTCAAACCCTAATCTCCTTCCAACAGTGCCAGCTTTTTTTTTGTCCTCCACATGTTCCCTTCCCTCCTTGGGTGAACCAAAAATTATTTAGAAAATCCAAAACTAATTTCCAATTTATTTTTTATTTGAATAATACTTCAATTTTTTTTCCAAAAAATCGATATTATACTTTTAATTAATTGTTTTTTTGGTTTAAAGTAAAAGTAAATAACCATAAACAAAATCAAAAGGAAGCTGTGTAAAATAAGCAAAATATGTATTACAAACAAGGAATTTGGAGTGTAATTCAATTATAAGAATAGTCTACTCCACTCCTGTAGTTGTAGAATTTATTGGAGAGGAGCTAGCAATCAAATAATATTGAATTGGATTCCTATATAATTGTCATCAGCACATGGAAATGTCTTGCTGAAATTTCTTTGACTTCAATTTAAAAAAATATATTATTGGCTTCATTCTACATATTTCTCAAATGTTTCAAGCTTCCATGTATCTCCTTATCATCAAAATTTATGTATACGCTAATTTTTATAGTATTGTTGATAAAAAAAATGAAGTTGATGTCAAGGTTTTGACTAAAAAGAGAAGCTTTTGTTTGTTTCTTGTAAAAAAGCTTAAAAGTTATATGGATGGCGCTCTTTTTCTTCCTTCCATGGCTGAGACTTTTATAAAATAAACATTAAAAATGATAGATAGAGAGAGAAAAGCTGTCAGAATCTGAAATTTTATCATTTTCAAATCTTGGGTATTGACCGTTCTGTACAAATGATATGTACTATGGGTGTATTCGGTTTAATTTTTTATTAAAAATTGAATTGAATTGAAATAAACGTTTTTCAAAATTTAAATTGAAATCGAAGGGTTAAAATATTAAAAAAATCGAAATCGATTTTTTCAGTTTGGTTCGATTTTTTTAAAACGGTTCGGATTTTTCGGTTTGAATTTTCAGTTTTTCAAAAAAATCACTTAAAATTATCTATTCGGTTTAATATGAAACAAATGAGTTTCATATGAAAAACCCGAATCAAACCGAACCGTTTTACTCTATTCGTATCGATTTTTCGATTTTCCGAGTTTCGTTGCTGAGCCCTAACATGTACTTCTCGTATCTCCTTGTCCTAGATCATTGCAACAGGCAACACGCCCATTACCTTCTTGAATCTTAATTAATGGCTCAGTTCTTGGCTCCTTGTTCCTTAATTTTTTAGTTTTAAATCAACCAGGAAATGGGGTTGCTTCTTACGGCAAAGGGGTTATTTAAACATCTCCATTCTTTCCATGCAAAAAGCATTGCTTTACTTCCTACTTTCTGAAATTTATATTCTTACTAATTCAATCTTTGAATAGGGAATTGGCGTGTGTTCCATTTCTCTTTCTCGTGTGAAAAAAAAATGAAAGAAAAATATTTCTAGTGCTGTGAGATTTTTAAATTGTTTATTTGAACTTACTTATATTGTCTTGTTGTGATGTGATGTGTAAATGACAAATTTTTATCATGATTTGTTTATGAATCTGTGCCTTGGGGGGTGTTAGGTGTAGGTGTTTAAAGTTGCCAGATGTTCAACCTTTTCCTGTTCATATTTTTAAATCCTTAGGGTTCCAATGTCAGTCTTTTTAGCAGCAGTAATTTGGTTTTGGGCACACAAAATAAAGGGTCTTTAGATCTGAGCCGTAATTGTCAGCAAAGACTAGGAATTTTTGAGGTTGGTTGTTGAGTTTTTCTGCTTTAATTTCACGAGATCAGAGGTTTGTCAGAAGATAATGTGCCCTTAATGAACTTCTCAGTCTGACCTCTGTGCTTTTAAATTCTGTCGGCATTTCGGTGTTGATAAGAATTCTAGAGAATTGTTTTTTGGGGGTTTAAATTCTAGAATCCTAGAGTAAAAAAAGGGGAACCTTTGTGAGGGAATTTGGGGTTTTGATTACGAAAATGGGGCATTCTGCTGCAGTATGGGATTATAGGGCTGCAACTGAGATCACAAAGGATTGGAATGGGATCGATACGATTGTTCTTCGGAACCCTCGAGGGGCTTCGGCAAGGGTCGGATTTATGATTTGTTCTTTCCCCCTTTTTTGTGTTAATTTCAGCTTGATTTTTGTGTTAATTTTGTGTTTTAATGTTACAGGTTAGCCTACATGGAGGTCAGGTAACTTCATGGAGGAATGAACGAGGGGAGGAACTTCTGTTTACAAGTAGTAAGGTAGGGGAAAGGTTAGAGGATGTTTAATTTCTATAAAAGTTATCCGAGATGCCGATTCGAGTTATGGATTCTTGTTCTTTTTAATGAATTTTAGGCTATTTTAAAGCCCCCAAAAGCTGTTCGAGGAGGGATCCCTATTTGTTTCCCACAGGTAGTCTTCATTCTCTGTCACTTGGTAAATTTAGTTATATGGAATTTTATTCATGGTTGCTTATCGGATGCTTGTTAAGTTCGGTAACTGCGGATCGCTCGAGCAACATGGATTTGCTAGGAACAAGGTTTGGACAATCGATGAAAATCCTCCACCTCTTAGTCCGAATGATTCCCATGGAAAATCCTTCGTTGACCTTTTGCTTAAACCATCTGAAGAAGATCTCAAATGTTGGCCCCATAGGTAAGAGCTCAGATGTTTACACCGTTCTCGATTTATGACATTAACTGATATATTGAGATTGCAAGTTATCCGGCAACTGAATCTGTATAAGTAAACGAGTTGCTTATATGTTGCTGACAGACTTTTTTCTTTGTCCCTTTCAGTTTTGAGTGTCGCCTGAGAGTATCACTTGCAGCAGATGGAAGTCTGAAATTAATATCACGAATTAGGAATGTCAACGGGAAGCCATTTAGTTTCTCTTTTGCGTATCATACGTATTTGTCAGTTTCCGACATCAGGTATATGTAGTGTTTTTGCTGGAATCTATCTTGAGATCATATTAACTATCAATTTCCCTTTGGATCAAGTAGAAGTTATAAATTCTTTCTGGATGTTACATGAACATGAACTGTGTTCACAGTGAAGTGAGGATAGAAGGGCTGGAGACACTCGACTACCTAGACAACCTTTGCCATAAAGAACGTTTTACCGAGCAAGGAGATGCTATAACATTCGAATCCGAGGTACGCGAGTTATACTATTACTTTGAAGTGTCCAGTTATGTATGTTTGTGATATCAGGGGCGACCAACTCCGGTCATTGGCATCGAGATACAGTGTATTATACTTGAAAGTCATTTGTCTGGCGAGAGTGCTGCAACATGAGTTCTTTCACGAGTTTTAAAGAATAATGCTTAAACGTTGTTTGACAGGTGGATCGAGTTTATCTGAGTACTCCAAACGTAGTTGCTGTACTTGACCACGAAAGGAAACGAACATATGTTATCAGGAAGGAGGGACTGCCCGATGTTGGTAAGCTTCAAGTACTTAAGGATGTTTTTGTAGTGTATGCTCAGCTCGTTTTCTAAACAAATAACAAAATGACTGCGATTCTGTTGTTAACAGTGGTATGGAATCCGTGGGAGAAGAAATCGAAATCAATGGCAGATTTCGGAGATGACGAGTACAAACAGATGCTATGCGTGGATGGAGCAGCAATCGAGAAGCCGATTACATTGAAACCAGGTGAGGAGTGGACGGGGCGGCTAGAACTCTCGGTCGTAGCATCAACATTGAGCAGTGAACATATTGATCTGCAGACAAGCAATGGGTTTTGAGTAAGAATACATTGGATGTAGGATGGTTGTAGTAAAGATCCACAGCCAGTGGTAGGACATGTAAAGTAGCAAGTAGAAACCCTGAAATTCTGATGCCAATCAGAAGCTAAAACACCCTTCGATTTTTTGTTGTTGTTTTAATGGCTTCTTATCTGAGATG